TGGTGGTGGTGGGTAGTGATGGTTGGTGGTGGTGGTGGTGGTGGTTGTAGTGGGTGGGTGGTGATGGTGGTGGGTAGTGATGGTTTGTAGGTAGTGGTTGGTGGTGGTGGGTGGTGATGGTGACGGGTGGTAGTGATGGGTGGTAAGTAGTGGTTGTTGGTGGTGGTGGCGGGCGGTGCTGATGGGTGGTGGTGGTTAGGTGGTGATGGTGGTGGTTGGTGATAGTGATGGCTAAGGTGGTTGGTGGTGGTGGGTGGGTGGGTAGTGATGGGTGGTGAGTGGTGGTTGGTGGTGGTGGTTAGTGATGGGTGTGGTAGTGTGTAGTGATGTTGGGTGGTGGTGATAGGTGGTAGGTAGTGGTTGTTGGTGGTGTTGGTAGGCGGTGGTGATGGGTGGTGGAGGTGTGTGGTGGTTGGGTGGTGATGGTGGTGGGTGATGGCGGGTAGTGGTTGGTGATGGTGTTGGTTGGGTGGTGAGTGTTGTTAGTTAGTGGGGGTTTTTTAATTGTTTGTAATTATTTTTTTGATTTACATAAATATTATTTTATAATTTTAATTAAAAAAATTATGTTTTTCAAATTTATTCTTAAATGTTCTCGCGATAAGAAATATTGTCAATTGAACACTCTCATATATATATATATATATATATATATATATATATATATATATATATATATATATATATATATATATATATATATATATATAATCATTTTTCATAAAGACCATATAAGGAGTCGAAAAATGTGATGGATTTTATTCTCATTTGGGCAGTTGTATTTCATGCTATTACAACTGATCCATTAATGTACATCCTCCATTTATGGTTTCTCACAACTTGACACCTTTTACTGCACCGTAGATTATGCGTGGGTTGTGGGCCATTTTGATCAGGTAAATTAGGCTAGAAATTGAAAGTTTTTTTTTTTCTTTTTTTTTTAAAGCATTCCTAAACTACTCATTAAATTCATTTATGTTTACGATAAGATTTGAATCCTCATCTTAAAGGAGGTCAACACCAGATACTGCTAGACTATAAGCCTGTTGGTAATCGAAAGTTAAATAACTACAAATTGATACATGATGGCTCATTTATTCAGCTTCTTACTTTTCAACATAGTCCTTTTCCTTTTCCACTTTTTAAGTAATTATAGTCTTTAATCATAAATATTTATCCATAGTCGACACACAATAATTCTATAGTCAAATAATACCATAATGCCCTCTTTACCGCAAACAAAATTTACCAAAATGTTTTTGATTTAACTAATTGTACACTAAAGACAAAATTTTATACTATTTACAGAAACAAAACTTATATTTTTAATTCCATTTAAATTTATCGTTTCTTTTTTAATGGAGGAGAACAGTAATATAGGTTTTTTTTTTTTTTTTTTTTTTTTACGACAACATAATTTATTGCTAGAAGAAAGTCTTGTTTTTTATTTTTCTTATCAATTCCTGAATTTATAAATCATAGTGAATTGATAATGAAATATGTCATCTGTATGTATAAATTGTAGTGAATTGCTAATTGAATGTGTTGATGAAATGACATATGTATGTATAAATATTGTCTTTTTCGGACCGAATACAATATTTTAACTTGAATAAATTGTTATGGACATGTTCGGTAAAAATAACTCGTAGCGTGTAGTTGGTTACATTTTGTTAAACACTATATGAAGTAGTATTTGAATTTGAAGTATTTTATTTAAATTAAACGCTACAAACTTGTAGTGCCAAACGTGAATTTTTGTGAATTTTTGTTTAAATCGGATCGTTTTGTCAAACGCTAAAAGTTAGAAGTTCTCAAACGCTCCGTACCGAACACGCTCTATGTTAGCATTCTGTTTAATAACAATTTATTTAAAACCATTATAAATTAAAATTGTATATTTTTAGTGTTAATTGCCTCTTTTTGTAACCTGCACCTTGTCTTTGGACTATTAAACGACTTTGAGCACATAATTACTCCAGATAGGTGTAACGGATTGTACATTTTAAGTTTCTGTTGCTATGGAACATCCATTAATTTACTAAGAAAAAGAAGCAATCAGGTGTGGACGAAACACAACAAACAAAATTTAGAACACACCAAAACTATCAGTTATACAAAACAACTCAAGATAAAAGCAGAAAGCAAGATACAATACCATAATTAGAACTTACACACCTAAACTATCTATTAAAGGTAAAACAAGTTAAAAGGGAATGTTACACTAGAACTAGCTAACATCATAAGTAATAAGTTAGAAATAAAAAGTGTTAATTTAATATTAGCTAATATTTCAGAAAGCTAGAACTACAAATCGTTGGCAAGAAGAAAATATTTCTAACAATTTCTTAACACCATAAGCCAATGAAATATAAAGAAAAACGTAACTTGAATAAAAGAAAATGTCTGGTGATGCAGATGTATAATGATCCAAATATGTAGCATATGATCGACTAATTTTGGATAGAAAATGGAGGGATGATGCGCCCTTGGGGAATAAGATAGTAGCGATTATTTCATTATCTTTAATAAAAATAGAGTCACAAAGATATAATCCTATTTTGGTGCATACGTGAGATCCTTTTGGGGGAAGATGAAGGAAATTTTGGAAAAATTAATTTGGAATTGTAATATTTTTTATTTCCATATATTATTGAATTATTGTTTTCTAGGTAGTAACAAAACCCGGTAAAATAATTGTTGAATCTAAGAGTGTGACTATAAATTCACATCCAAAAACAAAAGATCCTCATTCACCAAAACTCCCACAAGTATGTATTATAAAATGCAAATATAAATATGTGTTTATTCTTTTTTATCTAAATATGTGCAATCATTGTAGACAATGATGATGATGAAGTGCATTCTACAATATCCAAATAACAGAAGCAACGTTATTTATGGTACAGTTTACACCTCTTCAGAAAGACAAGCAATTTATGGAGTTCCACTTCAAGACGATTGCTATAAAGTATCAATTGATGAAGTGATAAAGGGAGCTGCATTTTTACCATATCAAAGCGGAGATATCAAAACAGTTGAGGAGACACATAAAACTTTTGTTACATGGCCAAAATATATTGTCAAATGTAATGAAGATGTTTGTTTCTTCTATTAACTACTTTATGCATTAAACTTTTTTCCTTTGGAAATTAATCCTTTAAATTATTAGTTATTCAAGTTTGGTTCAATGTTGCTACAAATACCACGAATAAGATCAACTCAAGATGGTGAATGTAAAAACTCCAAGAAGCAGAAAAAAAAAGTTTTATAATGAGAGATAACATTAGCAACATACAAATAGCACTTTCAACAAGACTAAACAAATCTAGTTTTTGGTTTATGTATTTTTTCATTTCTTTAGCATATTTAAGTAAACTTGTTATGATTATAAGGATTTTTACCTTTTAAATAGGGAAATTATATATAATAATTTTCATTTGAATTATTATTAATATTGATCTTATTTTGTCGTTTCACATTGTCCATTTATGGTTATATTTATTTAACATTGTTTTTTATTCCATGTATCTGTAATAATTTTACCATCATGTTTTATTATGTTTTGTCACTAAAATGTATATAATTGTTACTTTACAAAAAAATGTATCGTGTGACTAAAGGGTTAACAATAGTCATGATAGAAACTCAATATGTGTCTACATGTGTTTTGTAGTCACTTTTAATTAAACATATGTGACTAAAAGTAAAAGAAATACAACATTGAAAATTTTTGTGTCTCGGAAAAGATACACATGTCACTTTATTTAATAATCATGTTACTATAAGTAATATCACAGTAGGGTAAATGTAGTCATGGTGAATGAATTTGAGTATCGATACAACACTAATGGTTATGATTGTATTGATTCGCGATATCTAAATTATGATCAATAGCCACATTAATATATATATATATATATATATATATATATATATATATATATATATATATATATATATACATACATATATATATATATATATATATATATATATATATATATATATACATATATTTATTAAAGACGTGAAAAATTTTAACAGTACTTGGCTGTGATTGGACCAAATTCTCAGGGGTATTTTTGTCTACACAGGCTCTTTTTTTTAATCGGGTAACGTCTGTTCCACCGCATTCGCTTTTACTACGTGTTCTCCACCGCCTTCATCCTCTAATTTTCTGCTTGCTCCGACTGGCCCTCCCATTCACCAACGAACTTGATTAGCAACATAGATGAAATCAAACTTCCAAACCATCTGTTCTTTTTCCTCTTTCCTCAGATAACAAACCTTCCGTTCTTTTTCCGCTTTTCTTGGATAATGTTCATCGCCACAACCATCGAACAAGAATCAGTGCTCCACCAAATTGAGGTTAAACATATGAATAAATCGTTTAATTTTGGGGTTTTATTGAAGCATCTGGGATGAAGATATCCACTCTCTACAGTGTGCCGTCGCCCCTATGTGAAACCTTCGAATGGTGACCTTCGCACCCTACACATACATGTTCTTCCTTCCATCGACCTTCGCACCCTAGGTTTACAGGTTCGTTTTTCTTTACCTTTTTTCTGTTTTCGTTTCACGATGTCTCACCTCCCCCCTCTACATAGCTGTTGCTCGATCGAGTTGTTCCGATAGCGCAAATGTTTCCACTCTACCACACCACCAACTTCATGTTTGTTTTTTGCTTCCATATGTGTTGTTCGTTCACCACCTTCCTGATGAACTTATACATCTAAACCGTTCATACAGTGCAGTCAATCATTTGGTAAGGTTTCGATTTTTGATTTTCACCATCGTTCTCAACTTCTTCTTTTGTTTCTCTCTTTCTATAGTTTGATTGATTAGTTTTTTGAATGATACAAAATCGAGTATATGAGATTTGATTGTAGCTCTTAGGATGCACACCAATTGCTCGATAAAATGCTTGAAGCAAGTTTTTCAATTTTTTTATCAGATGATAACAACCATACGCATGGGGATGTGATTGTTATGGAGTGATGCAGAGGGTTAAAGATCGACAACTTTCAACATCTACAAAACCAGCAACTATTGCACAGGTTAGTTATTATTTTCATTCCATGTCCCAGCCAAAACATATGCTGGACTGTGTACAAAAAACTTCATTTCACCACTTGAAGATTTGATTCCCTTTTATTGTAAGCTTTTGGATCCAACCAACCTTACAAATCTTTTCCCTGTCACCAAGTTCCTTGGATTCTTAGCTACTGGAACTACCGGTTATTTTCTCAATGATTTGTAGTGTAAAATCAAATATTTTTGTGTAAGGAAAGAATAATAACTAATAAATAATGTTTTGTACATATTTTCAGTTGATACAAAGACATTGGTTCCACAGCCAAGAAATAAAGCAGTCGAGTTTCGTTGTAAATATGGCTATGAGATGGTTGTTTATGTATTAGCAAGATGGTAATAATTCTACAATTTTTTTGAGTTCCGTTTATCAGATTATATCATATCATTTTTTATGTTGATAAATCTATATGTTGCAGGATTGCTGACATATCACAAGTTTATACTCAACATGCTTACATGAGACCACTTGGAGTAGGTTAGTTTCTAGATGTGAAGTTGTTATTAGTTGCTTATTTTTGTGAATGTGCATGATTTTATTGATTGGTTTGAACTTTAGTGGCTATGTTGTTGGGTATTGATGATGAGAATGGATCTAAACTCAGCAGGTCGCTTCTTTAGACATTAGGTGTGTGGAAATTTGTAATGGATTTAAAAAAATATATAAATTTGTTATCTAATGTAGTTTTCGAATTTTGTTTGTAGGCAACAAGTGTTGGATTTAAAAAGCAAGAGGCTATTAATTTCCTTTAGAAGAAATGGAAAAATGACTCCCTCAATTTACTTATGATGAAACTGTATAGGTGAATTACTACACTTTCTATGAGTTGCAACTATTGTGTAATCGTATTTAACATTGACATATGCTTGATGCATCCCATGTTTGACTATAGACTGCAATTTCTGCTTTTCAATGATGCAATCTGTTCTACAAAAAGACTTCAAGGCCAATGAGATTAAGGTTGCAAATACCGGTTTGGATCTGAACCATCAGAAGTGTATCTATTTTAAATCGTTGTTTGTTGCTTTCTTTCCATTTCTAGGGCAAAAACATGTGACTGTCTCTGTTTCTAATTTCGTTCTTCATCTGCTAATTTCATCGATATCCTTTTCTATTACGTTGGCAGTGATAACAAATTAGACTTAATTAATCGGCTTGCTGTGAGATGTTATCCCAGGAACATGTTCCAAAGACCCACTTAAAACACAAGGTTCGTTTACAGTTTTTTGTTACTTTTTCCGTTTTTTTTCAATACCTACTGAAAATGAATAAGTACCTGTTGATTGTGTTTTTGACCATCTAATGACAGAAAAATCCTTAATAGTTTGTTACTATGGAATATTTTTTTTTTTGGCAGGGAGAGATGACATTTTTTCATCCGTATTTAGGGGACTCTATACTGAAGACATTGATACTCCTACAACAGTGATCGACCAGGTAAATCATGCCGACTTCACTGTATTATCTTTTGGTTTTGGTGTTTATTCAGGTGTGAATTAGTTTCATCTCAATTCCTTTAGTTATTTTTGGTTATTTTAATGAGTTTATCTCATGTTACAGTTTGAATAATATGAGGATTGACATTAATTTCTTGGATTAACATAATCAGGGTTGTTGAATAGTGACATGGTACTTCATCTCTTACAAGGGCATATCTGTTATTGATGCTTTCAACTTGAAATTAATATAGAGAGTAAGAAGTTTGATCCTCCTTTATAAAGTGTTTGTATATACTTTTTCATTTCACTGGAAAATCATTATGTTGGTTGTGAGTCTTTTATCTTTTCTATAGCTGAGAAGTTTGATCAATATATGATTCCTTTGTTTTTTTGTAAGGTAGTTTTAATGGTAACTCCATGAAGGTAGCCAGAGTTATTGTTCAACAATGGGTTCAAAGAGGCTTATGTTATCTGAGTTGGAGTTAGTGGCAACAATGGGCGGTTGGTATTATGATTCACTTTTTTCTTCATGGAAGCATTCAAATAGGAGAATATTTGGACAAAGTATAAGTTTAATTTATCTTAAGGTTTTGATAGTTGGATACTCAGGTGGAAGCATACATACATGGGCTGCACTCAAGTACATTCCTGATAGAATTGCAGGTATTTCACCATTTTTTAAATCAAATACTTTTTTTTTAATCTGATTATCTTGAACTGAAAATATAGGTGCTTTCATGGTAGAAACTTTGGTGAATCCATATGAAGCAACCATGACTAAGGTTGAGACACATAGGTCATGGGACAAGTGTATGCAGAATCTAGGTTTAAAATGGGACAGTGTATGCAGTAAAAGAATATGCAGTTTTTTATGTTTAGAATTGAAATAGATTAAATGATGAATGATATAAACAGGATTCTAAATCTCTTATATGGAGAAACTAACCAAAAAGCATAAATTTGTCTTTGTATATCTTTCATGACTTAGACAAAAAAAAAATCACACATCTATCAAACACTTGGTTATTGGACCAATAGTATTGAAGAGTATTGGAAGCTCGCTTTTTCATCTTTAGCAGTAAAATCTGTGCCTTTCTTTTGGTTAGTAATTCATTTCTGATTGTAAGTATCATTTTCTTGATTTGTTATGCTAAGAAACGATTATTTAACATATTATTTTGACATCATTTTTTAGATTTTTCTTCAACTGATTGCAATTGTTTGTATGTATCATGTATGCAAATAGGTAAATTTATGATTTCATATCATCAAAATATAATGATTATGAAGAATCTAGGTTTATAACTTCATCATACATACTATTTTTTACCAAACTGCCCCCTACATACCGTTTTTAAACTTTAAAAAAAAAATGATTTTAACAGTTTTGGACGAAACTGCCCCTGCATACTATTTTTATAGTTAAAAATTTTTGATTTTCATAATTTTCGATGAAAATGCCCCTGCATAATGTTTTTATACTTAAAATAATTAAATTTAACAATTTTGCATGAAACTGCCATTGCGTACTGTTTTAATAATTATTTTTTATTTTAACAGTTTTGGACAAAAGTATCCCTAATGTTTCAAATTTATTATGCAAAATGATGAGCGGGTGTGGTTTATTTTTGTGTCTGCGGCCCTACCACACGATGATGAAGCAACGAAGATAACTAAAAAGGTTTATGCCAAAGTTGAAGGTTTTTTTAACTAAAAAGGTTTATTGCCTTTGTGTCTGTAGCCCTACGACACGATGATGAAGCAACGAAGATAACTAATTTTTGTTTCTGGGAAGATTACTCTTACAGGAGCGAAGGTGTGATTATTTAACCTTTTTGAATGTTTGATTACATAAGTTCACTTTAATCATTTCCTATTTTTCCCTTTAATTGTTGCTGCCGCACTTGCTATTTACTTTGCAACACAAAGGGGTCATTATATTATAGCATAGTGCAACATATTTGTGTGTTTGTGTATCTACCAATTAGAACAATATACTATACTTCCACACAAAAACGACACCTTCCAACCAACGCGGGGGTCAGCTTTCTAGTTGAAACTATAAGTGTGTCTAATAGATAACAAATGTTATCGTTATGAAAAATTTGTGTGGCTAAACACTAAATAATAAGGACAATAAACATTAGTTGGGTATCTACAATGATTTTATAGTCATGCTTCAATTTAATATACATGACTAAAACTAAATAGTATTGTCAATGTAGATAAATGTGTGTCAAAATCTTAACATCTGTCACTTATTTCTACATTCATGTGGCTATATGTTCTACGATAGTCATAGTTATAAAAACATTATGTAAATATACGACATTTAAAACTATGGTTTAAGTATGTATATGTGACTGTAATAAAAACAATAGTCACACTCTGCAATTTTTTAATGTCTAAATGATAAAATTGGTCATACTTAAACAAATTGTTATGTTCATAAGATGAATATTAGCCACTGTTATATATACTTTTGTGTCTATAAATCAATTACAAACATGTTTAATTAATTTTCTATGTAGAAAAGATATAAAATTGCCACACTTACAACTTTTTATATGTTTGAATCATAGCAATGGTCATGATAAATTATACATATGTGGCTGAAAGTTATTGGATAAACATAGTAAAAAAAATAGTATGTGCTTTACAATACTTTCGGTCATTAAATTATAAATTTATGTGATAATTTTTGGAACATGGTCATGATTTATTTTATTATGCGTGTCTAAAAGATTGTTAATAGTCATAATTTTTTTTGTGTGGCAAATTATTAGCAAAACGTCATAATGAAAATAAATTCATGTGGCCATTTGTTGAATATGGTCATGCTTCGCTTAATTTTGTATCTCTAAACGATAGTCAATAGTCATAATGAACATTTTTTTGTGTGACGAATTATTATCAATACGCCACAATGAAAATAATTTCATGTCATCATTCCATGAAAGATTGTCACTAAAATAACGAGAATGTGTGTCTATAAAGGGTTTACATTCACAATATTGGATAAAATGATGGATTACACCAACAAAAAGCTTCACCCTATAGCCACACTTTTATACTATGATCATAGTTTTTCATATGATATAGCCACTAAACTTAAAAGTGGCTGTATGGTGCCTAAAATGGCACGGCATTCGGTGATACTCTCGATAAAAAAAAGTGTCTATCCTGAACAAACCAGGCTCTTTCGCCCTTAATCCTCTCAATCTTCCAGTTCTCTGGTCTCATACCCTCAATCTGAGCATCCCTGACCAAACCCACCAGCGGGGAATCCACCGTTATCCTCATACACCTGGCTGGGGTCGAGGACCCAGCTGACTTGCGGCTCAGAGCATCCGCAACCACGTTCATTTTACCAGGATGGTAAAGGATCTCACATTCATAGTCCTTGACCACATCCAGCTACCTGCGCTACCTCATGTTCAGGTTCGGCTGATCCCTGATATGTCTCAAACTCTTGTGATCCGTGTATATAGTACAACGGACCCCGTACAGATAGTGCCTCCAAATATTGAGAGCAAAAACCACCGCTCCCAACTCAAGATCGTGTGTAGGGTATCTCGTCTCATGTGGATTTAGCTGCCGTGATGCGTAGGCTATCGCTCGTCCCCTCTACATGAGGACTGCCCCCAAGCCAGTGATGGATGCATCAAAAATACCACAAAATCCTCCACTTCCTCGGGGAGTGTCAACACCGGCGCCTCGCATAAACACTACCGGAGGGTCTCAAACACCCTCTGCTGCTCAGGGCCCCACCGGAAATCCACCCGCTTCCTCGTTAGACGAGTGAGGGGTACGACAATCTTGGAGAAATCACGAATGAATCTCCGATAATACGCTGCTAAACCTAAGAAACTTCTGATGTCTGAGGGAGATTTCGGAGTCTCCCACTGCATTACCGCCTCCACCTTGGTCGGATCGACCAAAATCCCCTCCTGGTTAACGAGATGTCCGAGGAACTGGACCTCTCGTAACCAAAACTCGCATTTCGAGATCTTGGCATACAACCGTTCTCGCCTTAGAACCCCCAGCAGCTCCCTAAGATTCTCCTCATGTTGCTCTCGAGTCTTAGAATACACCAAGATATCATCTACGAACACGATGACCGAGCGATCGAGCATCGATCTGCAGACTTGGTTCATCAGATCCATGAACACCGTTGGCGC